CGCCGCCTCCAGCCCGGCGGCAGCGAGCCCCGCCGCCGAGGGGCCGCGGAGAAGCAGCCGAAGACCCGGCAAGCTCCGAAGTCCGGCCGCCGCGGCCAACCGCCAGCTTCCCAGGAAGCGGAGCCCGGCGGCCCGGGGAGGGGCAAGGGGAGACGACGCGGCGGCGATTGGGGAAGGCGCGAGATTGACACCGCCGCTTTCCAGTCGGGGCAGAAGAAGGGAGTGAGGCGGCGCCACAGGGGCGGGGCGGGGCGGGGCGCGGAACTGACCGTGTGTGACCGGTGGCCCGGCCGCGCCTCGCCGGCGGCGTGGGGCGGGGCGTGCTGGGGCCCGCCCCCTGCCCGGCCTGTGAGCGGCTGCGCCCCGGGACGCCTGCGGGGCCCTAGCGCCGCCGCCGCCATTTTGTGACAGGCTCTCCGCGGAATTCCCGCTCTGCGTTTTGGGAGGGGGCCTCGTGCTGTGGGAAGCACCGCGTGAACAAGGCGTTCGCGGTTGAGAGAGGTGTCCGTGTTCCTGTCTGCACGTACACAGAGTTAAAGCGGAGTAGCTCCCCGGTGCTGAGGTACGGCTGTTATTAGCTACCTCTAAGTACAGTTGCAAAATCGTGATACAACCTAAGCTTAGGGTTTTGTTACTGCCGACAGACTGGGAGAGCGCTCATCTCGTTCTCGGTTTTGTTCTTGGCTTATTTTTCTTCCCAGAGCCGTTCCTTCCCAAGTTCTGCCTTAACGATTACGTTATCCACCTGAAGTATTTTGAAATGTGTCAAACTCAAGAGAGACTCAACTGAAATGTCAAGTTTATTGTAAATCAGTAGGTTTGTAACATAAAGTCAGTATTTGCAAAAAAGCAAGATGCACAGAAAGTCACATTATTTTCACAGACTGAGGGAGGGGACAGGTGCAAACAGCATAAAAGCGTATTCGTATGTTTTTATAGTAGCGCTTTATTCAGTCATACTGAGCCATACTTGCAGGAAGTACCTGTTTAAAAAAACACCCTAAAATGTCTGTATCAAGTTGGAAACCTTGTAGCTGCAGAAGGAAAACAAAGGGCAGTTATTTTAGTGAATATTACCACGTTTTCCCTTATGTCTGTTTACGTAAGAGACTGACGGGAGGTATAAATACACAGGCCGGAAAGTCTCATCGATAGGCTGCATTGCATAGGCTCGGGATACTTAAAAGCAGCGTCACGTTTTCCTATGGGACGAAGACTTGAAGCCAGGCTTTGCCGCCTTTCCCCGTTGTGGTAGGAGTAGTAGTTGTCACCAGATGCTGTCAGACTGCGTTTGCTGGTATTCTGAGGAGCGCTGCATCCTTCAGCCTCATTTGGAGGTGCGGTGTTACCTACTACTAGTCAACTCCTGAATTATACCATCTGGGGCATCCTGGAAATACCTCAGCGCTCTGAAGGTCAGTATTCAATTAATGATTAAAATGAGAGAGGCGCAAATAGAATTTCAGCGTTTAATCCTCTGGAATTTCTCCGCTCAAAGCTACGTGATGCTTTGTCTTCCAGGGGCCTCTAGTGCATGGCACTAAATCAAGAATGGTTTGGGATACTTGATTCTAATTTTTGCTTTCATTTCAAATGGGAAAAGGGAAATGCCATTAAGTACGTAGGCTAAATGAAAGAGAATACAAAAGCACTCTTTGGTGAGTGACTGATAATAGACTGGGGCAGATGCTTACGTTGATAGTAACTAAAACAATAGTGTTCAAGAGCATAGAATATGAGGTATAAGAAGTGTGAAAGAAAAGAAAAAAACTACTCAAAGGAAGAAGTCATGCTGCTAAAAGTAAATAAAGCAAAACCTTTTTTTTTCTCTCCAGCGTGGAATTGAATAGGTTCTTCCAGAGCCTATTGTCTAATGTTTGGGATGTTGCAAGACTAAATGATAAACATACGCTTACGTGGAGTTATTTTACTACTTGCTTCATTAATTTACATTAACCATACAAACAGAAATATTAATTAGAACTAGGGATAAAACCATGTTCCTGCCAAAATTTTTTCCTGTCTCAAGAAATATTTAGTATTAGCAAATGTATAGCACTGGTTTTTGTGTTCTTTTATGTAGAATAGGGATCTCTTACAGTTAGTGTATTGTGTATAGCTTCAATTTCTATTTAAAATAGATTTGTACAGCCTTCGAAGGTCATATTCTTCTTCCTTAATAATCTTCAGCATCACCAGCACAGATAGCAAGTAAAGCACTCTCATAATGTCCTGAAGCAAAATGCTGCAAGAAAAAAACCCACATTTCTGTGACTGTACATTTTCTTAATTTTTCTTTTCCTGGTGTGTGATAAGGACTAGACTGATGTTGTAAGGTTTTGTAAAACATTACAGTGTTTTCTTAAGGATTTTAGGCCAAGATTTTTCTGATTTCACATACCTCAGGCTTTGGTTGCATGGGCACCTTGAAACAATCTACCTTTGAAAGGTTGGATCAAACCTGTTTAATTCTTCTCAAGTTCAATACCAAAAAATCATGAGCAATTTCTTACGGTTACTGCACATCTTACGGTTGGATTATAGCATCATAAAAAAGGTAAAGTGTCTTAGCAAGAGTCATTTTTCTACAATTAAACAGTGTTTGTTTTAAGGTACAGAGCAAGAGTACAAGAGCAATAGTTTTTCTGAAGGTTGATACTACCTAAGCACAAGGATAAAACCAGATTTTTATTTCAATTTTGCATGAAAGTGGTATCAGCCTAACCTTGCAGGGCGGTGTGAAAGAAGATGGTATCAATTTGTGTAGAAACTATTCATGCAAACTGTTCCTCAGCATTCACTGTCCTGCCCTGTTTATATCCTCTTCTTGCTCTTGGGAAGGGACAAAAACACATAGAATGAGAGTGAGCTGAGAATTCACTGCTCACTTACTGAAGTCAGCCCGAGGCAGTGAAAAGATAGCTTATTGTTTTTATACATTGCTTTTTTTTTTTTTAAATCCAAGTGATTGAATGGAGATTAGCCCTTTGTATTTTTCTGGTAGGGCTTGGCACAGTCTGTGTGGTGCCAGTGCTGAACAGATGCAAAAGTCTGTAAAAACTTACTTTAATGTCATGAAAGAGTGATTTCCCATATCTCTCTTTGTATCGCTGTCGTATATTCATCAAGTCAATCTCACTCCTGGCAATGAGAATCCTTATAACTGTTTTATTGTGAAACCCTAAGTCCTAAAAAGAAAAGGAGAGGAAACGTGACAGTTGGACAGTATGTGTTTGCCCATCCGTATATGCTCATATGAGTGTTTAATAGATAAGCCAATTTATTAGGCTACCCATAAAGATATCACAGATTTTAAAGGAGTCTAAGCATTCAAAGGTTTTATCCTACAGAATTTTCACATGCTCAAATAATAGAATTCATGTTACTGAATAACAGAGTTTCCCCATATATCAGTGTTTTAACCATGCACTGAAACTTTTAAAAACAAAAACCTGATGAACTTTTGTCAGTAGTCTTAGGTATTCAGTTTGTAGGTAGCTGTTGTGATTGTTGTTGTGGAGTCCATTCAAACTACACTGAAGCCAATAATCTATTTCACAACTGCTGCTGAATGTGAATTCAGTGAGATTTTTAACTATTGATTTAGAATTTACATAGCTTGTATTCAGCTGTGTTTTATTTTAACTTTCTGAATAAATTTTCATATTGTAATTGTGTGGAGAATGGGGACATCTAGTGGCAATAAAAGTAATCAAAACATTTAGGGTTGGGATGGCTGATGACCAGTTTAGATTGTTTAAAGCTAAATCATAATTTTATCGACTAGCCATTGATATTGAAATCTTCTTCTTCAAAAAGCAAGTAATGAGATATGTTAAAAAACTGCATATACAGAATTTGATACATGTTTGATGGCTACTTTAAAATCTTCTTTATAAACCATTACGGACTATTATTTCAAGCATTAGAATCCTGGGTGGGTTTTATTATACTGTATTATAAATGGACATATAAAAAGCTTTTGGTATAATCTGGACATAACTTCCCTGCAAAAACAGACACTATTTTAAATTTTTGCATTTCTTTTGAGAATTATCTGTGTTCATTAAAACACTTAGATAAAACAGAGTAAAATATTAATTAAAACAAAATGCAAACGTTTATTCTTAATCATTAAAAACTTTTTCCTGCATCAGATACATCATCTGAATATAATAAAGAAGAAAACTATCTATGTGATATTTCCTAAAATTAAAAATGAGGTTTTAACTTGAAAAGCGGTCTTGATACAGGGCCTTTGAGAAACATCCCTTTTCCTGATAGCTGGTATTTCCTGGTACTTTTGGCAAACCTTTTTCACGTCACGTGCCAGAATCCTCTTTTGATCATTCAGACAAAATACTGCCTCTTCCTCTCAGCCCCCAGGATTTTCCTTGGTTCTTTGCTGCCACTGTTGCTGGTTTATCTGAAACAGGGGACAGCAGTAGTGGCAGCATCTGGAAGAGGATACTGGGACACTGCTGAAGTGTTGCTGAAAAGTTCTGTTCAATGGTTCTGGCTTGAATTCTATCTTTGCCATTCCTGCTCTCAGATGATATTTCACATTTTACCCATGGCTGGCTTTTATGACCATCTTCTAAAGATTAGGCTTAAAAGACTGCGCTTTATTTTTTATATAACATAACGCATCATTATTTTCACTGATGAATGAAAACCAAAAGAAAATGTCTTCAGCGACCTCTAGTAAGAAGAATTTGTAGATGTTTCTTTGCATGTACCTGCATTTCTTCTTGGCACTCATTTGTTTTAGTATGTTAGCACTTACACACAAAGATAAAAGAATCTACGTATATACATTGAGCCCCACAAGAAAACATGACCATTTGTTTTTATGTAACAGTAATTCATGATTTAATTTTTAGTGATACTTACTGAATCTCTAGAGACAAAAATTACGTAGTATGAAAAGTGCACATTGAGTTCTGCACAGCAGGGGGAGATACAATCCATAGGAAAAAAAGGGTTTAAATTAAAAAAAAAAAAAATTGACACCAGACAGATTTTTTTTAAGGAATCTATATATTTAACCTTTTACTGTTACCGTTAAATCCTAACTGTTGCTTAGGCACTACTGCTTTGAAAGTTCTGTAGATACCAACAGTTTTAAAACACACAATCACACCTTAAAGATTGAACTGACTGATTTGTAAGTACTTGTTTAAGAATAATCAAGCAAACAAAAAAATAGGAAGCTACTTTTTATGGTATGTGAAAAAAAAAGACTACTTACGTGAATTGCATTATAAAGCCTGTAAGCAAAATAGGAAGGCTTGTCACGAACACAGAGAACTAGGAGAGAAGAGTTGCAACAAGTAAACCTAAGATTATTATAAAATAATTTCTGTTGGCTTTAGGCTCCTTGAAATACAAAGCTGGGTAGTGCTGTCCATGACTCAGCTTAAAACTAAGCTACCAGTTTTCACAACCATAACTATATTCACAATTTAAAAAGTCTGGCACTTATTTTGGGTAGGTACTCATTACTGTTGCATCGAAGGCCTTATTAAATATCAGTGAATATGCTTACATGACATCTTTGTAGAAATATTATTATCCTTATTCTATAAATGGAAAACAAAGGCACATAAAGCTTGGAACTTGTTTATATACCACTGAAGTCCTGAAAACTTTGTCAATTATTTAATATATGTAGAATCAGTTGGTAATGCAGTTATCAGTGATCACACAAAATTTGTTATCAAATAAAGAACAGATACTAGTTCTGCTCAGTCAGAATCTAATGCTGCATATATACATTTTTAGTTTTACACAAACATGGAAAAGTAGTTCAAATATTATTTTCTAATTATCTCTGAAAATTTAATTACACAATATAGGAGAGTAAAGTGGATAAAAATATCAGAAGAATAATATTCTTGATGCATCAGAGATACCATACTAGATATTTATTATGAGATTACTGCTAGTATAAAATAAATATTTTTACATTACCTATTGCAACCAGTAATTCTTGAAAGTATCCATCATAACATTCGTTAATGGCATCTACTATGTCTTGCCCGGAGATATTTTGGAACTCCTGGAAAACTGGGGGGGGGAAGAAATCTTGCTTTATTCTAGTTCATTAATAATGATCAACTTGCCTTTTTTTTTCCTGCTTCCCCCCAGTACTATAAATATTGAGTTTATTTTTTCACCTGTTTATTTTCAGTGTTTCATTATGTTTCTATCTTCCAGGTAAGGCAATCTAAATGAGTAGCCTGAAACCTGGCTTCCAGGACATTCTCTCTCTGGGTTATCCAGTATACAGTATAACATGAATGCATGCCAAAGCCTCTGTTTCACTGGAAGCTTTAATAAATTCTCTATCTAGCAGCGTCTCTTTACAATACATGTAAGAATGTCATGTCATTAAGACAACTTCCTTGCTTAGCTTGGCTAAAACTGGCCGGAGATTCACAGATTGTGACAAGAAGCCATGGTGTGACATGCGTAACATGTTAGTATCCAGACATGGACACTCTCTGGCTAGTGCAGGTATGCAGACTTACACACACAAATATACAGGGCGTGCTTACTCCTTTAGGGAAGGAGGAAAATTTTCAACTCACTGCTTACTACAGAACTTAGGGAGGACTACATTACAGAGCCCTCAAATCTCTTACAGACAGAGAGTAGAGCATAAGCAGGTGTGTTACGTTATGTTAATCCTATCATCACCAGCCTTACAGAAGTCATGACAGAAGAATTTGTTGATCCATGACAGCAAAGTAGTTCTAAGCTACTGTTAGAAGTCGGCATAAAAAATACAGCTGGCTGCACAGTGATAAACTTGTTACCAAACAGATACAACAGGTTTCTTTTCTAAAGTGGAAGGTCTGGATGATCTCACATAAATTTCTTGCAATCTGTAATTATGTCTGATTATCTATTTTAAATAAAAATGTCCCATTATGTTTCTGTGTGTATGTTCATTATGAGAGAGCGAATGTGGACCCTGAAGTGGTCCCATCAAAAACGTCTTTGAAACTTCTGGGGAAAAGCTTCAACACAGCAATGTGTTTTCACATACAAACATTTGTTGAAAATACTCCAACTGCCTCTTCCAAGGTGTTTCCACTCATAGCAAAGAGTTACTTAGGAAAAATGAAGAGAATAGTTAAGAAAAATTTGCCTCATCCTGTTGTGTCATGTATAAACTCAGTGCAGCCATAGCCTATGCCTTTCTTTGATGGTGCATTCTTCCCTCTGTTATTAGGCATCCTGATGTCTGTCTGTTCTATCTACAGCTGCCAGTAGTCATCACGCAAAGTTCAGTTTTGCATTACTTCCAAAATCCCATTAACATCAGTGGGAGTCTGAGAGCTCCAACAGTTCACACTTAGGTTTCAGGCTAATACCCTGCTGCACACTGAGCTTCTTGGTATGTAAACCATGATTTTATTAGCAAGGCAGATTTTTCCTTTCCAATCTGTGTTCAAACAGTTGAACCACTGGATTACCCATCCACAACTGCTGGTAACTCTTGTTGCAGAGAATCATTTGCAGCAAGTTTTTGTGTTCGCCTGTTTTCTGCTGACATGCTTCCCATAGAATCTAATATACCAGAAAAAGGAAAAAAAAAGCAAAAGATTTTAAGTAATTCCTAAATTACTTTTCAATGTTTGTATTTGTTCTTTTTTTTTTTTATGTTTGAGAAGTTCACATCTGACTATATTTACCATTGCGTCTTGAGCAGCTGTAGAAGGATCTGCATATCCTTCCATCCTTGTTCCCTGGGGGAAAAAAAGATACATTTTCTTCAAAAGTTAAATCCTAAAAGACTGTAGGAATATAAAGTTGTCTTTATATGAAGTTATGTTTCATTTCTTGAGATAACATATATGGGCTTTTAGATCGGATCAATGTATTCAATGGTTGAATTTGCAGCTGTAGAAAATATCTTCAAGTTGTCATATTGTGGCTTCATTTCCTCTAAGAAGAGGAACTCTGGAATGACAAATGGTCTTGTGGGAGGAAAAAATGGGCAAAGTGGATAAACCTATCCCATTTTTAGTCCAATTTTAAATAAGCTTTTACCTTACCACCACCATCCCACCACCATTTCCAGTATTACAGATGTTACATTGCTTACTATAATAGGTAACTATGAGGGGAAAACAAGGATAAGAGTAACATTTGCAATTCGCTGATTATTTCTTATCAATATGCATATTACCAGAAGAATCTTTTCTCAATTTTTTTTCTCCCTGCACAAACCATAGGAGCAAGCACATCAAAAAAATTGAGATTTTGCTTGCTTGTAATCATTGTCTAAAATTACGATTCAAGACTAGGAAATTGTTTGACAACATTGATACATAAACCACGGAAGAATACTTAATTTTCCCATACATTTAATAGTTTTTCGGTTACACAAATCAAGCTGATATGCCTTAGTAAACACGCTATGATCTGAATTATATAGTTAGAAAAAGAGAAGAGCACGCAACTTTTGGAATTGCTTTTTTAACTATAATTGTCTTGTAAGGATACAAATCAGCCTTGGTTGCAGAACCCTCAGCAATCTCAAGCTGCATGTAATCACTGCCTTAATGATATGTGTTTGAAGCAATTTAGATTAAAATTTACAGTCATTTTACCCTATATGTGAAAGGGAGGATTAACATTAAGTATTGGCTGTCAACTTGTAGCATGACTGATTTGTAGCTCCTTCCTGTTAAAAATGTTAATTTATATTTTAATTAAATTGTAAGAATTTCACACAGTGGAATTCCTAGTAACAAGATAAATTACTTGAAGGAAATTATGCTGGAATGACTGCATAAAGTTACATACATGAGAAAACACAGGAAAAAAAGAAAGACAAACGAACAATAAAATAAGTTAAGTAATACTCTACATGAGTCAAACACCCACTTTCCCCAGTAACATTTAACAGTGACTGCTCTTGGCATAGTTTTGCTGGAGAATCCCACAATATGTATAGTTATTTTTTAAATTGGAGAAAATGATCATAACTCAATTAATGCCTAAAAAAGAGAATTAGAATAAAAATCTGTTTGTCTCATACTAGAATGTTAGTTAGCCTGAATTTATAACTCTGTTAATTTATTTAGGAAGGACTATAACCTATAACTTCTAATGTGCCTCAGTGTGGACCTGTGTAAATACCACACTATGGCAATTGAATAGTTTGCTCTCCATATGTGAAGCACATTTACTTCTATCTGTAGTCAGATGTGTGTGTCATCAATCCCAAGATTTAATAGAAATCAAAGCAAAGAGTGTCTGAAAAAAGCATTAAAGGATGCATTGGAAATGTTGCTATAGAATAATCTTCTGTAAGTTGCATGGTACTAGAACTAGAAAGGATATATTTTAAAGAAATATCACTGAGTTTTAATATAAGATCATATCCAAACATGGATGATTCAACTAACAGTCTTCAAAGTATACAGTATAACTGAGTAAAGTTGGAACTCCCTGCAACTCTTCTTTATCTTGAGAAAAATAGCAGTTAGATCTTGTTAGCTAAGAAGTTTCTGATTTCAGGCCTCTCTATCAATATCTGTGGTTTAAGAAAATAAGGACTAATAATGTCTCAGATAATTTATTTTAAATTTGTTCTTTTGGCAAGTAAAATGTGTACTATTGTTTTAATAAAGATGAGAAGTGAGGTTGCTTAACCTGTAGCTCTTCATTTTTAATCAAGGAAGAATTTTCATTATTAGGGGGAAAAACCACCCAACGTTAGAAAAAAATATTTCCTGTTATAGCTTCTACATTTGAAACATCTGCTCTTTATCTCTGTAACTCAGTGAAGCCTGCTGCTATTTTAAATCTTAGTAAGTACTTTTTCACCAGACAAACATATGTAAAAATACAGATATACCTTATGTATGCTGTTATCTCCTGGCAGTCCTTTTTTCATTATTTGTTATTCTGGTTTACAAAAGATTTTTAAGATAATAAGCACAGTGACTACAATGAGAATGGGAACTCATGATCTGACAAGGATGACCAACTTTGTTGCATAAAAGTACAAATTGGTAAAACTGCAAAAGTTGGTGTGTGATGGTGATAATTCATTTGCCTGCTTGCAAACATATTGTGATTTAGCATATGCAGCAGCACAAAGAACATAAAGTTTAAAACAGAGAACTATTTAATACTTCCTTTCATAGTCAAATATGGATAAATCTCCATTTTTTGCATAATGCCTAGACTGGATTATGAGCCATATATTCTAACAATGGAGAAAACAAAGCTTTAAAAATGAAAGTCTCATTTGTACATGCAAGTAGACTCCTTTTGAGATGAGAGAGAGTGAGCAGAGGGTCAGCAGTTGAATATCTAGGGTCTTAATAAAATAGTCTGTTGACCTTTGCCTCCATCTGAAAGCCAAAGCCAAAGTCAAAGTAGATGAAGGAATTCAAGTTCTATTCCTCTCCTGCTTTCGCCCCCTCTCTTAAAGTGTAGTCCTATTGAACTAGCTTTAACCACGGTCATCTTAAAATTTAAGACTTCTCAAATAGTATCAAAAGTTATTATGAATTTTTTAGAACTGTAAGTCATATTACTTTTTTTTACAGTACCTGCGCAAGGTTCATGAGCGTATCTCTGAAGTGACCAGAAGTCTCAGAATCAATATCTTGCTGAAGATCATTATTATATTCTAGGTTGAACCAAAAACATATAATCTAAATCACAAATGAACATGCTCTGAAAAGTGCTAATTAAGATTAGCAAACAAAGGATAAATAAATAAGGTGCAAATACTACTCCATTTTCTATGGTGATTATTCCAGAGTAACCCATGCAGGTTCTACACGGACCTAGCCATGGGGCTGGCAGGTCTGTCTAGGTCCTGCCGGGGGGCCTCAGCTGCTGCCCCGGCTCACCTGTCCACCCACCCACCCACCCACCCACGGGCGCAGCCCCACCACTGCTGCTGTTGTGTGAGTGGAGTGTCCAGCCTGAGTAAACACTTTTGGAAGGAAGACAGCGTAGACACTTTTTTGAATAAAGAGTGCAAAAGTTTCTGAGAATGCCCAAATGTGGCTTCCAGGTGTTTCACATGTCATAGGCAGTAATACATTTCAAAAATACTATGATGTATTTTCAACTTTAAACATTTTGCTTCAGCCTTTTGTATATAGTTATAGAAGTTATAGAAGAGGGAGAAGGGAACCAGGTAGTATTGAGAAGTCATTTTTGTAGTTCAGTTCCTTCATGTGTGCTAATACATCCATCCAGAGCACACATAGTACAACTGCTACTGTGCCCTTGTAAAAAACATTACGCATTAAGTAGGCTTCTTTCATCTGGAAGATCTCCATATTTGTTCTTGAGGCTAATATGTCAATTAGACAGTTTTCTTCTGTGTCTACTCCCTGTGTGGAAAGAAGTAAATATGAAAAGATGTTGTTAGTAGAAACCACAGCTTTTAGAAGAAAGCAATGCTGCACTTATCAGAAGTAACAAAAGAATAGCAGTCTCTGCTGGAGCAATGCAGAGTGTACTTTTGCGTAGTCTACCTGTTTAAATAGAAAATGACTTTAAATTAGTACTAGCACCCTGTATTTCAAATATGTTCCTACTTAATTTGAATTTCAGCATGTACATTAACAAGTGGGGAATGGAGCAATACTAGTGTTGACAGAAACATAATGGCAAGAATTTTAGAGCTTTAGTAAGAATTCAGGATTTGCTGAAAGAAATCAGATGCAAAGATTGAGCATACATCCCCAGCAAGTGTTCAGGCAACCTGAAGTAGATATGAGCACAACTATTATTTTGTGCCTCTATTTATTTTTTTTTTAATTTATTTAGGAATGTTACAGTCTGTAATGTCTACTATAGAACTTGGTATTTAAAGGAAGCCTCATAGCCATGCATGCAGTGCTGCAAATCACTGTATTTTCCCACTGGATTTGAATTAATTTTATGAACTTGAATTGACATAAGATACACTGCATATGCTGCTTTTAATATGCATGTGTATAGTGTTGGTGAGTATTCTGCATTTGGGATAATGGGAGAATAAGACATTGAGTTTGACCCTGGAGACATGTATGGCCTGTTTTTTACTTTGGCCATATGAATCCAGATCAAGATAGAATACTATAAGAAAGTTTAACTTGAGCCACATTTAGAAAAAATATAACTTTGGCAATCTTGTCAATAATTTTTATAAAAGTCATGCTTCCAGTGCTACCAATGATATTTCACAATCCTTTTAATGCCAACTGCAACTAAAAATGTATCACTAGTTCTAAAAAGTGCATTGGTTTAAGTGTCAGAAGGACAAGAAAAAACTGTTAATTTTTTTTTTTTAAGGTATTCTCAAAATATGTAAGACAGATAACCTTGCTCGGAGTCGTATAATCTGTGTCTTATTTGTGATAGTGGACAGTAGCAACTATTCGTGGAGAGAAGAGGAAAACAGTGTTGACCTCTGATATGCCTTCCCATTTTTCAGGAATTGGCAATTTAGGAATTTCCTGAGAAGGAATTTGCTAAGGATTATTATTTTCAATAGCGAACAGTGGAACTGTTTTCTAAGAATGTACTGAAGTCTTTTATGAACTGATTTGTGCTTTTGGCCTCCACAATGCCCTGCAGGAATGAATTTCACCATTTAATTACATGATCTTTGAAAAAATATTTTTGTTTGTTTCAAAACTTCAGTTGTTTAAGGACCACAGGCTCAGATCCTGGGAAGAAAAGGAAATATTTTCTTCAAAATGTGCAATCGGTTCAGTTTGAGTGGAGTGATGATTGCTTTGTCACAGAGTAATTTGCAAGTGTTTATGTAAAGACATGTTCTGCTAAGGAAGTACTGGTCTTTTCAGAGGTGGAGGCTTAGTGCATGGCACTGGCTGTTCAAATGAATTTTGTTCGTAACACACATAAATGCTTGCACGATCAGGGCCTTACATTTCCCTGTATGAATACTTATTCATTTACTGAGTTTACCATAGGTGTTAAATGGGTTGTATTTGTTACATGACAAGGATATTATTTATGCTGGTTTTAGCATACCAATGAATAGACCTCATATAGCACTGCATTTCTGATGACCTAGTGTACTATGTAGTAGTATGTTATTTCAGTGTACTAACTTCCAGCAGTTTATCAACCATTTAAATGTCAAAAAAATCAATTTAACATATGTTCAGTACTGTAATTAGTGACTGCAACTCTAAACAATTCTGAATTTGACAAGTACCTTCAAGGCATGCCAGAGCTCATGGGCATCATAGGAGGCAGGTGGATACATCAAGCCAACCATGACTTCTCTGAAGTGATGAGAGAGATTCTCTTTTAGGTCTGTTATCAGATCCTTGAAAAGATGAAAAAATACATAGACAGGATTATTTCAGTAGTCACACTTCATTAAGACAGCTTAAAAAAAGTATTATTGGTTTTCTCTGTAAATGAATAAAGATGAACCGTCAAAGATGAATTCTGGCTAAAATTAAAATTTTAGATAGTACATGCTTCTTCTAATAGTAGGGATGAGATGGCAATAGACACACAGGTCAGTAGACCGCATAGGGTTGTTGATTTTTGGTTCATTAGAATACAGAAGAAAATTCAAGGGTTTAAGTGCAACTACTACTTAAAGGCTTGGAAGCCTGAATACCACGACAGAGCATCTGCAGCTTCCCTTGGCATATTCCCTGTGCGAATCTGTCAGAGCTAAGCACCTTTGGAAGTCAAATCCCATAGAATGCAGGCGACTTGTGCTTTTTTCAGTGTTACTCACTATGTGAATAATTTAAAAAATCATCCATATTGCTCCTACTACATAAAAATATCTGCTTTGGATTACTGGAAGGTTATGTGCTTCAGTTTATGTATATTACATTCAAACTGAATTAACTACTTTTGACAGATGCTGGATTAATAAAAAGGAACCCCTCTCTTCCCCCACATGTCTCAGTACTTGCTTGCCAGGTAGCTGAGTAATGGATGAGAATGTCCTCCCCACTCTCCCCTTTCCTGATAGCATCCTTCAAAACACTGCAAATGCCAAAAGCTTGTTAGTTATACTGTTGCTGTTTCTGATTAAGAGGATACTTGTGCACTCTTTTTTTTTATGTTTTCTGTACAGCACTAGGTAGCTGTCAGATATGTTCTGACCTAAGTCTGAATTTAAAGGAGTACCAGAAATGGTTCCCATGAGATAAACTGTTATGTTTTCAGAGCTGCATCTTTTTCAGGCCTGTACTTTGTTTTTGATACTTATCTGAATATTATTAGCAGCTAAAGTAGCAATGAAGGAGGACATATACACATTAAAAATTAAATTTATGATGAAGAAACATATGCAGTCTTCAGTGAATGCACATTAGATGCATTTGACAACCACTAAATCACACACAGAATAGAAATTAATTCATTAAGACATTTCACTTCTGACAACATGCCTGTGGGAAAATGGATTAATAATACAAATGGATGCTAATTAAAAATTACTCCTGCAATCAGAACTAAGGGAAGTAAAGTATTGAAAAATAAGAAAAGACAACTCTTAAGTTGTCAATATTCCCTAATTGTCTCTGCTATATGAAATGCTTGAAGGCTAATTGTAAGAAGGATGAAAGCTTTTCGGTATGTCTGAATAATGCACCCAGTTCAGGGTTTTATTTTCTTTTTTTATACATTTCTCCTTCTAATGCGTCACACTTTACATTTGTCAAATGAATGGGCATAGTGGCTGCCATATTGAATTGAAATTAAGAGGGTGGAGGATTGGACTGACAGTTTTACCATAGATTAAACTGAAAAGGCTAAAATTGTTATTGCCTAGCTGTCTGTCTTCTCTGTCCTGCAGAGTTTACCACTCACAAGCTGGAACTGCCAAATAGCACATTTCCCCAATGCAATATATTCATTAATACAGATCACAGCCAGTGAAATGCTATCACTGATGGGTGCTAAAGTATCCTCTGAAGTGTAAACTGCTGCAGTTCAGGGCAAGATGCATCCCATCCTGTTTGGCAGTTCCTGCCCAAGATGATAGCAAATTTTTGAGGGATCAATCAAATAAACTGCATGGAGCACTAACCAGATTAGCCACTTCAGTATATCTGCTGTCACAGGTGAGGCAAAAAAATCACCATTCCTGTTTAATCTCTAACTAGATTAGAGCTAATTTGTACTGACCCCTGTTTCCACATGGCAAAAAGTAGAACTAGGTGGGTTTTTTGGAAAGCTGTCAAGAGTATCTTGATGTATCTTGTGCTATAAAGTATACCCAGTGCTTAACAGATTTATTTAAATTAAAATTGTGTGTGTATAAGCAAGATGTTCCACGAGTTTCAGAATTTTCTGTAGCCCATTGCTGGAATATAAAAATAGTTTGCTTGCCTTTCCCTTCTATTATCATTCATAGTTTTAGAGATTGAAATTCTTAAAAATGACATCTGAGGTTTTCTTTGGCTTTTTTAGTTCTAGATCTTTAGGTCTGTGGCCACTGGCTTTGTAGCACTTCAGGTTGGCATAATATGGCTGACAGGTAAAAATGTAAAGGTGGTATGTTTTCATAGGGATTTATTTATTTGTTTATATTGGATTTGAAAAGAAAATCCAGATAGATCAGTGGTGAGCAAGTCAATAATTGTTCTCTATGAATACAAAATATGGCAAATCATAACTCCATTCCTGAAGGACATTTGGCAATTCTTTATTGAGATATCATTAGTGTTTTCTCTAGGTCATCTTCACGTATGTCCTGGTTTCAGCTGGGATAGAGTTAACTGTCTTCCTAGTAGCTGGTACAGTGCTATGTTTTGAGTTCAGTATGTGAAGAATGTTGATAACACTGATGTTTTCAGTTGTTGCTCAGTAGTGTTTGGACTATAGTCAAGGATTTTTCAGCTTCTCATGCCCAGCCAGCAAGAAAGCTGGAGGGGCACAAGAAGTTGGCACAGGACACAGCCAGGGCACCTGACCCAAAGTGGCCAACGGGGTATTCCATACCATGGGACGTCCCATCCAGTTTAGGAACTGGGAAGTGGGGGCAGGGAATCACCGCTGGGGGACTGGCTGGGTGTCGGTCAGCGGGTGGTGAACAATTGCCCTGCGCATCATTTGTATATTCCAATCCTTTCATTATTACTGTTGTCATTTTATTAGTGTTATCATTATCATTATTAGTTTCTTCTTTTCTGTTCTATTAAACCCTTCTTATCTTAACCCATGAGTGTTGCTTCTTTTCCTGATTTTCTCCCCCATCCCACTGGATGGGGGTGGAGTGAGTAAGTGGCTGCGTGGTGCTTAGTTGCTGGCTGGGGTTAAACCACAACAACGTATCAGAGGGCAGAAATTAAAGATAAAAAATGATATGAAGCTTTTAAATGTTTTCCTGTGTTTAAATGATAGGTCCATTTGAAACACTCTGGAGAAAAGGTTAAAAAACCCCAGCCAGCTGCTATGGATGGAGTAGAGAAGGAGCACTGTCCAGTGATTAAGGAGATAAATGAAGACTTGAAAAGAATGGGCTTGGGTGCTTTACTATCACAGGTACCTTTGGGTAGCTTGACATGCTTTAGTTTTCTATAAGTAAAACTAAAAATCAGTGAGAAATACTGCATGGATAAACACTGAACTTTTGTGGTTTGCATGTGTAGTGGTAATGGTAGCCTAATAAATACCTTGTAATAGAAAAACACTTTTAATCATTCAGATCCACTGATTTCAATCATTGTCACAGTCTCTGGAAGGTAAGGATACCTGTGATTCAGTTATTGTTCTTCTATGGTCTGTTTAAAACATACTGATCCATTCAAGGCTGCATCTAAAATATCACAGATATTGTGTGTTTGATTTTTTTATAACGGTCCAAATAAAGCCAGTGATCTCCTATAGGTGAGTAACAACACAAAATCAACCCACCACACTGATTAAATCCAGCTCTCCTTTTTCCCCCAATTCTAGAAAGAGTAAGGGGGTGTTTCAGCCTATTTAGAGGTCAACAGTTGTGTGGTATTTTGGTATACAGGTGGCATAAAGGCTGTCTGGAAAACTGCTCGACTACCCAAAGAAGAAAATACACTGTTCTACTGGTTAACAGACTGGTGGTGTAACAGACTACCACATCAGCAGTTAATGTGGAGTTTTTGAATGAACTATTTCTAGCTCTAATTATTGCTGATGGCTGTGTGGTAGGATTTCTTCAAACTCGCTGTCCTCCATGCTGATTGATTCAATACCAAGCTTACGCTGACCTTCAAGGCATTTTCCAATGAGCCATTAGTTTTTCAAACTTCAGGAAAAGAAGAAAACTGGATTTTGTTTAGAATGTTTGGCTGGCTTCTATTAGGGGAAGGGCACATCTGGGCAATTTAATCACAGCATTTTTCTTTAGCTTTCCAATAGTATCTAGTTTCATGTAGCACTTTTCATCACTAGATTTCACGGGGATTTTACAAAAGGAGTTGCTGTTATTTTTGCCCTTATATAGCTGGGGTAACTGAGGAAAATGCAGACATTGCTACTTCCCCGAAGTCATTTGATTAGCAATAGTAGATCTGGAAACAGAATGAGGATATCTATTTCTGTGTATGTTTAAGAACTCGTATAACAAAAAATTACCTTGTTATATACTGTAAATATGGATAAAATATATTTGAAGGAAAAAAGCTAACTTTTTATGTCTTAAAATTTTTTGAACACCTTTCAAAGATTCATAAATTTAACATTGAGCAGCTCAGGTGAATATTGTGCTTAGTATATGGATGGGATTACATGGTATGAGGTCTGAGAATGTCAGTGCTTGAGATGAGAATGTTAATCAGTGCGTGAGTAAGATACAACTACCTGTAATTGTTGATATGGTGTTTTTCTTTGGTGTTTCAAGCCAAATACAATACTACTTTATTATGTATTCCAAAGACTTGAAAAAAGTAATGCAGAAACCCCCAAAAGCCCATAGAGGAAGAAAAAAGTCTGTCCAGAAATACTGGTTTGGTCAATAGAGGAGTAGAATGAACTATAGAAGAAGAAACTTTTCATGTCCTTTTTTTTTAACTTTGTGTGTGGCAGAAGTATTTCTACTGCTATATAAATGACAATTTGAAACTGTCAGAGGTATTGATAGTTACGTGAGCGAAATTGTGTGTCAATCTGTTGGTGCCAGCCAGCTGTCTGCCAGGCTTTTGGTTCCAGTGACTGACCTGAGAGAAGGGCTGACCAACCGCACTGGAGACAGGAGAGATAGAAGTAATGAAAGTACAAAATGGCTCTGTCTTACCCTGCCATACATGTCTCTGTATGCCTCAGCAATCATAAGCCGCTGTGAATTGCAACGCTGTGTTAGGATATCAATCAACACATCTTTTTCACAACCTGTAAAGGAAGCATGACACAGACTCTAAATTAACGAAGTGTTGTTATTTACTTACATCTGTGATTGTTCATGCTTTGTTCAAGAACATTATCCTAATTTCTTGAAAAAAATAGATCAACAAATTAATAACCCACTGGTATTTACCAACATCAGTTATATTTACCGTGCATATGTACCTTCTACTTGCTGGTATAATACCAACAAAAAGTGAAGTAGTCTTAGATGCATCACCATCTCTCTCAAGCTCAATGGATTTGAAAGCATCAATAAAACAGATAGAAGCTTTCATCTATTCAGAAGTAGGCACACTAGCAGAATTTGTGGCTGAGCCTGGGAAGTCATACTTGTATGCCCTGTTGATATTGATTAAGTTGTCATTTCAGGATTAGGGATCTCTTTTATGGGGATGACAAATTATGGTCAGACCATTTGTTGAAAAACTGAAAGATATATATTTTCAGAGGAACTATATAAAATAAGTTATGAAGTTTTAAAAAATATAATATTTTAACCAATTTCCAAGGGCATTTTGTTGAAGGTTACCTATGATCTTTTGCTTGATGGCTAAAGCATACTGCTAAACTTCTATAATGAATCAGTATTTACTGCTTATGAAAAAGAAGATAAAGATTAACATATTCTGAAAATTATTTTATAATTTTAATTTTTTTTTCCATCCCAGAAGTTGGCTTTTGGTAATTTCAGATGGCTGAGCATTTTAATGACATTACGGCATAAATGTATCTCCAAGTGTAAATCAATTGCCTTTATCACACTTGTAACAGAGATGAATTAGGCTGGAAAGCACGGGGATCAGCTAACATCTGAGTGGAGTAGACTAGTCTCTCAGGTTTCTACGAGTCATTATTACATAGGCATACATGTCTGTATATATGTTACAGACACACGTTCTGTACTTATTACAGCTTTGTAAGGCAGATTTTATCACATAATCTATAACTGACAGGTTCCATTTTGACACAAATGTAATTGGACTTTGAATACATTTAGCTTTTTTAAGTTGGCAGAGGAAGTCTGTATTAGCTCATTATACATCAGGTTTAGTTCTCTTTCTTCTGGATCATCTAGCCACAGTAACACCAGCTTTTTAGCAAGACACTGATTTGACATCAGTCTGATTCATTTCTATCAAACTCACAAAATGAAACTATTACTGAAACTCTGTGCATAAGGATTTCTTTTTAATTTTCAGAAAATTATCACTAGGAATCTGTACAGTTTATATAGTCTCTACAGTAAAAACTAAGAAAGATTCAGGAAATATTTAAAAACCTAAATAACTTTATTCATTTGTGTAATACCACTGGTATCAGTGGGACAACATGTGTGACTGAACCTCCTCACAAGAATGAATGTCGTGTGCAATATTCATGGTCAGGGTGTCAGTGCCTGTAAAGGCTATGGAGACTTAAAACTCCTGTGAAGCTTAACTTTTTATTTTGCCATTTTTTATTATTTGTCCTTGAAATTAGAACTTTGTTCCATGAACTTTGATAGGTAAATTAAAAGTAAGGTTAATGCGCTTGTATTTACAGTATTAAATGAAGAGAATCGTCTCTGCATTGTCATGTTAGCAACATTGCATTAAAAGTACTGTTTGAAGTTTAGCAAAATGTTTACAACTTTTCATCTGTAGCCAACTAATCAAAAAGCTACTTCAGGTTCCCCTTGATTAATAATACTCATTGTGGTTCATTTGACATTAAGTCTGAGTCCTCACATTTCCACTGAAGAAACTGAAAACAGAATGCAAGATTTGGAGCTGTACAACCTTGTGAGAAGCCCGAGCCCTATAAAAATTCTGATGTAGAAAACAATTGTAATGTGAGGGAGATGTTTCAGATAGTAAAAAAAAAAAAAAAAAAAAAACCAGATTTCTGACCCTCAGCAATACCAACAATGTTCAACAGGAAAACACAAAAATCTGAATATAGAAAAAATGCATGGGTGACCAAAAATTTTTTTTGTACATAGACTGAAAGGAAAAATTGCTCGTAAGTGAAAGATAATAAATTCTTTAAACTTTCTGCTCCATTTTTTTTTTTATTTCTTGATGACTAATTAAAAGACTTAACAGTCCCTGGTAATAGTTAATTGTTGAAGTTACAATTAAAAACCTTTCCTTTGTTGACCTTGACTGTAGTGACATAACACAGAATTCTGTTCTCTTTTTATTTTCCTCAAGGAAAGCATTCATTACTATAAGTGTTGGTATAGATTTTGGATTATTCTTAATCACCTCTTAGTTCCTGTAAAATGCAAATACATGATTTATTTGGACATCACCAGCGTGTCTTATTGTGATACCTTGAAGAATCAACAGATACGTGGTGACACTTTAAATTTTATGAGTTTTTATTTTGCCTAATGCTTGTTATTTTATGAGAGCTTTCTGAAAAAAAAAAAAAGATGTGTTAGAATCAATCAAGATACTCACTAATTCCCTGTAGTGCTCCTCCTAGCATCTGGGCATCCGTAATAGGGTTAAAATTTGGAGCGGGAAAAATTGTTCCTTGTATCTGCTGAAGGAGAAAGCAGCCTTTAATTGAGGTGTTTTACATCTATAACACTGCATATATAGTTTTGTTGAAAACCAACAATCGTAACATTGTCTTTGCTTCATGGGGAACAGGATGCAAAGTTTTTAATTTATGAAACAGAACTTAAGTTGCAGTAAGCCCTAGGAAGACAGACCATATTTGAGGAAGTTGCCACTAGCTAGCATGAGTTAGGTCTGAAAAAAAAATTAAATTTAATTAATTTTTTTTGTATTCAAATGGAACCATATTTTTGTCTCTGTCTCTTTCCCAACCTTTTCCTGAAAATATTATTTTACCTTTCAGAGTTAATCCATGGTATCCCTGACAGTCTTCAGTATCTATTTCTCATGGTATTTCTAATTTGAAAGGACTAGTAAGAAAATGATGAATGAGATACATAGGTTGCTTACAAACGTAGTAGTTTTTTTAAAGAAATTATGTTACTGCTAAGTGTGAGATAGCTTTCTGATATGCCACGTAGAAGGCAACACCATTTTTCTAGTTGCTTTGCGACTGATTAAATTACTGTCAGTTCTTTGTCAGTGATACTTTATCGCATGTATTTTTTCTTACTCTTCTTAAGAAATCTGTGAATAATAAAAAGAACTGATGTATTCATTTTAATAGAATCACAGACCCATACGTATATGGGAGAAAATAACTGAGGTTGAAAGCTACTTAGCTCTGTCCCCTCGTTAACCTCTTTAGTTCCTCTGAGGATTCTACCTGCTTTTCCAGACGTACCAAGTATAAAAGTTATCTTTCATGATGATTCCTTGTCCCAGTCAATACATCTGATTAAAATGACACTGTTAACTTGAAATTTACATTTCAAGGAAAAATGAGATATATTTTATAAATAAAAATGGGGTATTTTTATGAATACTTCCTAGATTCAGGAGTTACACTGATTACACTAATTTGTTTGTTTGTTTGTTTGCTCACTTTACAAACACTTGAAAGCCTTTTATATGTTGTGCCTTCAGTAATAATGACATACACATACAGATTTTGTATGGCTTGCAATTTTAGCAAAGGAATTAAAAAGCACCAAAAAGCACCAAGCAAGAAGTGGATATTTTAGGTGAGAAGGAAGACATCATTTCTTGATGTGTTTGATCATTACTTTAGACCCACCAAGCAAAGGTAGGGGCAACAAATTGTCAGTGGCTAAGTGAGGAAAAGAATGTATGGTCAGAAGTGTAAGATTTTTAAAGGAGTTACTTTAAAATTACTAATTAGGCAACAAGCCTTTACACAAAAAGGAAAGTACTCACCAGTAGACAAATATCCTTCTGCAGTTTGTTCATCATTTAAATACAAGGTCAAATTTTTACAACTGAACGTAAAACACATAGTGCCTTTGTATTCATTAAAACAATCAGGAAAATAATGAGAAAAAAATATTTTGGAGAATGGAAATAAATACTTGCCATAGACAAGACAATGAGACCATGCCAATTTTTGTAGGTTGATATATGTTATTGTATTTAAAATGAATTGCAGACTCAACCTTAAGGTATGCTCCATCCCATCTTCCTTTGTCAGTGTGGGAATTGGCTGTATAGCCTGGGCCTCACTTGTCACTTAACGTATCTCTAGGGTAGGGCTCTGCAGGTATTAGCCTCAGAAATTGAGAGTTTATATATTCTCATGACATCCTAGTTACTGACAGTACACATACTTCTTCAAATGTTGTTCACCAGAAGTTTTCTAGGCACGTGCCGTTTGCAGCAGTTGGAGTGCCAAGTGCTGTTTGGCCAGATGGTACGTGAGGCTCCATTTCCCCTCCCCTTTTGCTAGCATGTCAAATAATGCTGACCTTAGTTCAATCATTCTCTGCAGCTCAGGAGACAGAAATGCTTGAGCTCTGTGGTTGGCCAGCTGGACAAACCACACCAAACTTACTAATAAACAAAATAACTATGGAAAGAAGTGATAGAAGACACTGTTAGAATGCAGAATCAAAAATATATATTGATATATGCTATGAGTTAGGAAAAAATGAAGTTTTAGCTTTCTGGCTCTGTAATTCATGCTTCCCAAAATGTCTGACATAAAAAAGCTCATCAATCTTGAGAGGAAAACCAAAACAAATCCAAAACCAACACATCATCAAACATTATGTTAGGTTGCCAAAATGGAAAACATTTTGATGGCAATAATAATAAAGAATAGTAGGGTGCAAATGGATGCAAGTAACAGATAATAAGATTCAAAGACTTTGAGTTTGCACTTTAAACCAAAGTTAGAAAGCATAAGCATATCTGGCATTCAGTTTAAGTGCTGTCTGAACCTGTCACAGTCCTTACTAGTCAGAAGGATGGTGGTGGGGAGGAGAGAAAATGTAGGACATGAGTGCATTTATTCAAATCTAATTTAAAATACCTGTGCTGGCTCTTCATCTCTGCATCAGCTTTGAACAAGTTCAATTCCTGTAAAGATTAGTTATCTCAAAGTATTTCCTTTCACACATTCAGGTTTGTGGTATCACAAAATGAACCAGTAAGTCACTGATCTTTTCAGCATTTATGATACTTGCACTAAAATCAGAAAGAAGTGACTAACTTAGTGAATGCTTTAAGGCTGGATTCCTGCATAGTCCTTGGAACGAAAAATGAGTAAAAGTGGTTTTCGAAGTAGATACCACCTCTCAGTCAGAATGGAAGCAAGCATTAATAATTTCTGAATATATATCTTTATTCATGAAACAGTGAAAACAAAAAAAAAGGGCTTTGCATGAATGCATATTTGCAGAAATACAATGGAGGCATTGATCATAGAAATGAATATACGGATTTGCAGGCTTGTAAATTTTTGACCAAAAAACTCAACACAGCCTTTGTAATGTATCTTTCAGGCAAAATAATGGATTTTTGAATGTGGTCAATTCTCCCTTCGTTCATCAGAGTTGCTGAACGCTTCTTTTATGAAGTATTCACTGCCTCATTATTTGAGGCTCACCATCAGTAGATTAAACCTGATCTAGTAAATGCCTATCTCCTAGCCAGGATCTAATTAAAACCACTATGTTTTTAAGTAGAACCAAATTAAATATGAAGGTTCAGGTAAAAACTTTTAGAAGATACAGTAAAATACAACTTCTTTTTAATACAAGTCCTTTGTGGGAAAGAACTATCGCCCTTTTGTTTGTTTTTAAACAAATTAAAATTTATTTAAAATTTTCTTATAGTGTACACATTGTACTTGGCTTCGTCTTCCATCCCACGGAAGACATTTGTCCCAGAGTGTTATTTTTGATGAGGATTTTCAGTATACCTCACTTGTATTTGGATTTTCAGAGTGGTTTTTCAGCAAATTCAGCATTCTGCCAATATATAACAGTTCTCTGACCTGAGATTTACAGTGTACATGCTGTCAGGATACTTGGAAGGAATTTCTACATAACTAATGATGTCTTACTACTGGCATAGCTCACAGAGTTATTGTCGCAATGTTGTGTACCTTGAAGAAAGTACTTTGCTACTTTTTGGTGTTTACACAGCCTAACGTTTAGGAAGATTTATTCTATCACAACCTATGTCAGTTTTATCCTGTAACCACTTTCATAGTTTCAGTCTTTGACAAGCCTGCAGAAGCATTCCTGGTTCACTTTATGGACTTAATTTCAAAATCTTCTGGATTTTATTACTTATTAAACTTATTTCACCTGTTTTCATTTAATTTTTGAAATATGGGCACAAGCAGATCTGGGCCAAGCCTTTAGAGCTGAACTTTGGTAATTTGGGGTCTGAATTCAGTGTGATTACACAGCAATAGCCTACCACTTGCTGTGTGTTGTAGCCTTTTTTTTTTTTTTTTTTTGTCCAGTAGCAAATAATTTGAGAGTGCTGTGTGATATTCACCACGGAAGGCAAAGCGAAGGAAATTTGTTGGTAGACAGTCCATTGGAGACAGGGATTGATTCTTGTATGCTGCAGTGCTGTCTGTGTCTCTCTGAAGTAAATCCTGTGCGGACGATCCATACACCTGTCACAGAGTGACAGGCCTTAGTGCCGTGATTGCAGGTGGCACTACTGTCCTGTGGTGACAAGATGCTACACAGCAGGTGAGAAGTAAAAAACTCACTTCAAAAGCAACGCAGAAATCCAAGAGGATGCTTTTCTGGGCAAGTGACTGCTGTAATGCCCTTTGGTGTAGTTTTATGGGGAGGGTGAAAGCATGAAAGAGATGGTGTAGTTCTAGGTCGTTGAGCAAGACTGAATGCTCACAATAATCCCCTATACTGAGAGATAAACCTGGAGGTTGTAGCAGGCATTTTGTTTTGCAAAGACTTGTTACAGTCTTGTGATATTTTAGAAGCATCTGTGGTTACAACATTCTTTTGCTCAACATTCCTCAATAAAATGAGGAAATAAGTCAAAACAACATTCACCTTGGGAAAGCTGGGGCTCTGCTTCCAGAACCTAGGGACCAGGGTGCAAAATCATGTTTCCTCCCCAAATTATACAGGATTTGCATGCCTAAACATGCCTAGGAAATGCATACCTAGCAGCAGTCTTCCTCACTCCACAAACTGAGAAAGCAGAGCAGTAGAGGCATTTGGTAACTGAATGAAATTACAGCAGATTGAATTTTGATCAGGGAGCAGGCAACTACATGGGAATAGGTTGTTCCTTCCCATTATCTTTGGTTAGGGAATTTCTACTGCCCTGTTTTGAAGCAGGGCATTTTTAGGGTTGATTGAACACCTGAATGTAGTTACACGTACTGCTATTTCACTTCATTTCCACTTAAGTCAGCTGTGACTGACCAATAAACCCCTATAATGGAAGAAGGCTTGGAGGAGCTGGGCAAGGGCAGCATGCCCATGAAGCTCAGGGAATAATGCAGGATGTGACTGACCACAGCTGTTGTGAAGAAAGCTGATTTTATCTCAACACAAAGGGGACTGAGGCTGGCCTTTGTTTTAGATAAACGGCTATCAACAGTTGAGTGCCTGAACTGATAGTGTAAAT